GGGTGTTTTTGATATTTGGTTAGGTATATTTATATATATAAAAATGTCTCATAATTTGTGCAAAAGGCTGTATATATACATATATGCATTTTAAACTTAACATGCAAACTTGACACGATTATCTAACTTTTCCAGCAGATAGTGCGGCATGTCAAGTCCCCAAAGTGCCTCCTTTAAATCGATTTTCTTGGAAAATGTGTGGCTTCTTGTTATGATAGATGTGACAATACATAGTAGTTCCCTCATTTCAACTTTCATCCATTTTGCGAACTTTGTAGATTTCATTAAAAAATGAGTTTCAACTTCGCAATTTTTAAAAACAATCGAAGCAGCTTTTCGAATTAGAAACTTGCTTTTTTGCTAGATTTTGTCTACATTTAGTTTTAGCTTAGAACTTTTTGTTCACTATAAATGTAAAATGATAAGCCACTTATGACTTCACAATTTCATTGTCGATATCATAACTTAGTGTCGCGCTCAACACAGGCTGTCACGCAACTTAACAAGCTTTTGTCTTGTGAGTCAGATTGSTGAAGGTTCTTTCCTGTTGTTTACAAAGGTAATGCTCGGTGAATAGTAAAAGTCAGCGTTTGACGTCAACTGTTTATTATTCATCCAACTAGCTGGTCAATAATCTATTTAAATCAGGCAATCAAGGAGTACGTACTATAGAAASTGTTCCGCGGCATATAGATGTATGTAACATACACCAAACGTTGCATTTATTGGTTCATCCAATGGAAAAAGCACCACAACTCTTAGAAAAACAGTTTTAAAGATTAGTAAGTACTGGTTTACGTGCTTATCAATTCATAGGATATATTTACCCTATCAGACATTCCTAAGCAACTAATTCTAATACCTMGAATGGCCCGATTTGGGTTACCGTTATCTGAATGCAGCGTCTTCTTACCTTTCCCAATATGTCCAGCATTGCAGCTTTCAGATTTGGCAGTATTTCTGATTAACTGAAAGCAATCCACGCGGTGTTGTCGATGTGTTGTTATTTGTTTTTTGAGATTGCTTGTTCCGTTTGCATGTTACTAGTGACCTTTGGATGTGTATTAGTGCTATTATAAGACAGAAAATAACTTTACCATCAAACCCATCTTTCGAACACATTGAAATAAGGAAATTTCCCCGGATTATAATGTACAATAACAAACAAATATAAAGTACGAACAATACTTATGTGCTAATTTAACGTAATTTTCGATTACTTGAGATTCTTCAATATTCCTAAATAGGGATTTGGTATTATAAGGTGTTTCACTACCATATTGCTAGATTAATTATTACTATAGATTCTCAATTCACAAAAACTCTGAAAAAGAAATAACTGGAACACTTCTTATGTCGATTTGTTTATTGTTGTTTATTTTTAATTTACTAACATTTATTATTGTTAAAGCAATCGCTTTTTTTTCTTGCTTGTTAATGATGCCAATTTTAACAGGTAGCAAAAGAAACAAACTTGAACTTATGGCAAAACGCGAGAGAAGCGATAAAAACTGCGACTGAATCAAGGTTTTCTTGACTTGAAACTGACCCAAGAGTTTCAAGACAAACAGTTAAATTGCAAAGCGMAAAACTAAAGCATGTTGAAACGATTGCCAGTTTTATGCGGTTAGTATCGTTTTTTAATCACTGAAGGATAAAATGAATTTTCCTCGGAAATACAAAATATACAGCTTGTAAAGGTCTGCACATGATAGAAAATAACATCAAAATGTCGATGAACAGTATTTTCCGACAGTGTTTTCTGAATATTGTATGATGGAAATCGATGTCCRCCGAGTGCATCATTTTGAAAAGTACAGTACTACTAGTACTGTTCGCATGTCACTATATGTTGATATGTTGTCACGACTCCGTCAAAAAGTAATCTGTTAAATCGGTCATTTGGTCATTCAGTCTCGCGAAAGCTTATCATTATAGATAGAGGCATTAAAGTTCAGTAAAAASTTCATTAAATTAGTTTATCTTTGGTTAGGGTCGGTATTATAGCCATATCTTTTCGATATTTGCAATTATCTTAACCGATTTACTGGCCCGCCATCACGACGACATGTGATATATTATATGCCAAACACTGTTTTGCTCGATTTAAAACTGTTTGCTTTACTGTTATATAAACAGCCAAAATTACCTTGAAATTATGCTGGCAAATGACCTAAGTAAGGCATGGCATGACTGAATACCATACAAACATAGCSTTGAACAGCGTCAAGCTTTAAAAATCGTGCGCTACACGGATTATAGAGAACTTCACGAAACACTTCTTCGACTTTGAATCGGATACATTGACACGGAACAAGTGAATCACGCATCTTTAGCGGTCGTCAGGGAATCGATCGGATTTAAGCTTATGAGAACGGAATCGTCACAATTCGAAATATTATGGTATTAATCAGACTTCTAACTGACTGTAAGTATTTGGCATTTCCGTGAACATATAGAGTCATATTTTGCAGGTAATTAAAAATACAAATACTTCGTCTTGAGAGAATGCAGCTTTCTCCATCTAGCAACATCTTTGTTCATTGCTTGATATGGAAGGTTTTATTCCATACATATCTATATTCTATCTGAATATAAGTCATWAAAAGTTAAAAGTTAATAAGTTATAAAAACTACAGTTGATTTGCTCTTCATTTTTCCGCTTTTTTAAGAAAAAAAACCCATTGCCAATCCTTCTTTCATCCTCATTATGATATTTCCAAGAGTTGTAATAAATGTTGGCGAATTGAGGACGTCTAAACTATATAACAGAATATTCACTTTCTAATCAAGTCCTCGCTTTACAATCAACACTAAAATATAATGGTTTGTCTCAAAAGCTTAACTATTAATAGGAGTTAACAAGAAAAATCTACACTTTTCTTGGTATGTTCCTTTGTAWGTTTTCGTGTCGACAACCACTTATGGCGATGAGTTATGGAAAAACACGTTTTTCTATGAGTACAGGTAAAAATATATATGAGAAAAAACCGAGTGTAAGCTCATTTATCAGAATTTATAAATMATAATGAGAGATATTTTAGCATGAAGATAATGCGACAACTTTACTTGCCTAATCTGTCAGTTATTTGAGCTGCCAATTTAAATGATGTACTTGAGTAAACTCCTCCCCTTTTTGGACTTCATGGGAAAGTTTGAAGGTTATTTTCTATATCCATTTATTTCYGTAAAATCCCTTTTAATTTTCATTGTGCATTTGAYGTTGTTTTGTCAACAAGTTCAAGCAATAACGTTGTTGGTGCTCCAGTCACACGAAGAGTCATCGTTACTTCAACTAGAGTGCCAAACTAGATTGACCTTTTTTGTCATCAATTTATCTACTTCATCTGTGACGTAAAGAGTAAAGAAATCCATACGAATTCAACCAGTTGTCCATGTTCTCGCGTGTTTGATGTTTACATACAATTTTTTTTCGGACGCCCATTTGCTTAGGGTGCWAAAATAACAGTAAATTCTGACGACCAATCAGATTACAAAGGGCAAGTTTGATAGTTCTAGAAATACCCTCACTGATAGTGAAAAGAGATCATGTCGTACAGAATCAACGAGACCCTGATCCATCATGTTAAAATACGCCAAGCGGATCATCATATTGTCATCAAGCTCAAGTAATGCAGGATAYCAATTGTGTACTGCTGTGCTTTAAGCGAATATTAATAGTATTTTTGCTTTATTTCCTTGTAGGATACACTTTGATCCGATGGCCGATCGTGGACGGAGACGGAACAACGCCGGTAAGTCCTTAAATCTGACTTAATTTTCCTCATAATTGTGCAGGGAGATTAATGTTCATATGCGAATTGTAGTCAGAGAGTTAAATAAACTTTTATTATTCGATTGCGGTTAGTATTTCAAACGCTCTCGCAATGGAATCTACATGGAATGTATTAGCTGCATTGATATCAAGTTCGCCATTGTTTTGACCGATCAGTTTCATGATCTGATGATATCTTTAAGACGCATTAAATTCCGGTAGGAGATTGCCTTGTCTAGCGTAGTATTTTTTGGCGCCTTTAGGGCGTTCTGCCTTATGATTTGTTTARCATCTTTTCCATTTATCCTTTTCAGTCAATCTTGCATGCTATTGAATATCCGGCAATTGACAAAAAACGTTTTGACATCTCTCCAAACGAAGACTTTTGACGACCTTTTCACGTGCTTGAGTTCTTAAAATATATRCTTTCCTTGGGAAATTCCCGAATAAGTGAATGAAAGACGCAATATCTAAGCCTATCATGTCATTGGATTTAAGTTGTTAGATAAACTTTCTATTTTCAAAAGAATCATTGCGTGAAAAGCATAATACCTTAGGTCAATCAATTCTTAACGCTAGCGCTTGCGTTGACAGCTTACAATAATTTTTCAATCTATTGCCTGTGAAATGTTAAGCATCTTCTTCCAATTAACTAATCTATTCATCCAGRAACATGAATGCCTCCACGTTCCATTGTACGTACCGACATTCTCCTTCAGAGATGCTTCAAAATGTAGTTTAATACCAAATGTTCTTTGAGAGATCTTAAGGGGATTACGATTTAGTTATAGAAAACAACATCGCGATTATATTTTGCCCTTAAAAATGAGCACTAAATGTTAAAAGCGCAAGATTTGATGTGTGATTGGGAGCCATTTACTGATAATCGYATTCCATTGACTAATTATCAACTCTACACTCCCCTGTACGATCTGAGATCACTGCCTGCAAGCWAACTTATAATCCAACTGTTAATGAAATGACACAAAGTATGATCATAACTGAAACATGAGTGCTCATCCGCTKTAATACAGGATGAAATCTTAGCCTGACGTGTTTTCAGCCATGTGACGTCAGTTATGACGTCAATAATAAAGTATCAGTGACAATCTGATATATATTATACATATACAGACWCAAGCCAATTACATGCTTGTTTATCCTTTCCAGGTATTGATGTTGCTGATATCAATGGCTTGCTCTCCAGACAAAACGACGAGGATAAAGAAGAGAGCGAACCATTGCCCAAATATGGTTCGGCTGACGAGTTCTATGAGCTAGAAGAGGAGATTGGAAAGTGAGCATGYTTAAAAATATACCTTACTTATAGTTATGGAATACTGATGGTTATGTAAACACGATTTTACAGCCTTGCTTGTTCCTCCAAAGAGCGAACTCACTAAACAGCTTTCTAGAATAAACATCACCAATCAGATACCAGAATGAACCTCAGTATCAGTTTTTTGTTTTCATAATATCATCTTCGTCCAAAAACAAAATTACTTGATAAATTTATTTTTTGTAGGGGTGCTTATGGTGTTGTCAAAAAATGCACAGATAAGCGGTCCAAACAAGAATGCGCGGCAAAGATTGTTAAAACTTCCAACTCCAAACTGCGCAAAGAAACCATGAAAGAAATTGAAGTAATGAAAGTACTGGGTGACCACAAGAAGCTGGTAGGCTTACTGGACGCRTACCACACTCCCTTTGAGATCGTTATGATTTTAGAGCTGTAAGTATTTCCATATTTGGCATCTTCTATTTCAGAATACTGATTATTTCTGAAGGTGTTACATTTCATTATTCTGCTGTGGTTCTCTACGCACCAGCATCATCAACCTCGTTCCCAGGGCCTTAATRGCCTGGGAACGAAGTTGCAGCATCATTAATACTMAATGAAATCAYCCTTTCTAGTGTATCTGGTGGCGAATTGTTTGAACGAATAGTGGAAGAAGATTATTTAATGGAAGAAGATGCTATTGATTATGTGCGTCAAGTTCTCGATGGRCTRAAATATATGCACTCTAAAAATGTGGTGCACTTRGACCTTAAGGTAATCAACATTAAATTGTCATTCGTTGAGAGCTTCGGGTTATTGTGACCAGAACTACTCAACGAAGGTTTTATTAGGACTTCATTTGCATTAGTGCGACAGGTGCAGCTCCGTGCCATTTAGGATTTCTGCCGAAAGCTTGCCATCCCATATCCGTGCGAAAATCCTCTCCAACCTTTAGCTTGACCCAACCTTGGCATGCTGTATCAGTGCGAAATTTCGCATTAGAATTAGCCTTACCATTCCATAGTCGCATAAGTAAACTGTTGCACCATGCGGCGATTTCATTCAGCAACTTGTTTCACATCTTTTTTCCAGCCGGAGAATATTCTTTGTGTCAGTAAAGACTCTATGAATATCAAACTGGTAGACTTTGGCTTAGCACAGCAACTGAAAGATGGAGAAGAGGTCAAGTCATCCTTTGGAACACCTGATTTTGTTGGTAAGCATTTCCTTYGGGATCATGCATGACAGAGGAAGTCTCAAACTGCTGGACTTAATTCCAAGAACTACTCAAGGAATATGTATAGCTCATCAGTAGTGATTGAGACTTGGAAACTTGASGTTATTACCTAAATCGAATAATATGGCAACGTTTGATATCCCAACCATATTCCCGATTGCATAACGTAAATTTAATCAATTTTCTTTTTTTTCAGCTCCTGAAGTAATTCGTATGAAGCCTATAACAAAAGCTAGTGACATGTGGTAAGAGATTCGAGAAAAYCCTCATTTTACCACTTCATATCCTGTGTCATTACGTGATAATCATATCCATTTTAACATCCCATCAATAACAAAATTGTATTCTTGGATAGAAGGATAATTTTAGACATCCTTTTSTAAARTTACGCGRACAGTCACCCCTTCCATCTTCACTTCAAATAAGGTTCAACCTGAATCATAACAATATTTTCTTATTTCATCAGGAGTCTTGGAGTGGTCACTTATGTATTGTAAGTATATTTGAATTTCCCAACACTCTCAGTTGCCTTTTAATCT